TTTGATACACCTGACTTATTTAATAGTCGCATTATATGTGTATATGCTTCAGGATTATCTTTCATCAATCCCTTTAAAAATAGTGCTTGAAAGACTTCGGGCTTAGACTTTATGTTATAAAACAGAGTCCTAGATAGAGACTGACGCTTCTTAACTGTAGTGTCATTAGTAGATTGTATTTCTTGTGCACAGACTTCAAGTGCTGTGTTGCCTTTGAAGTGATTAACGCTCAATTAAGTAGTGAGTGGAATCTCTGATTCTTTGATCTTGTTAAGAAAGGTCTCAGAAGGGGTCCATTTGGTTGTTCCAATGAGACCTATACGACATATTATAGTATGTCTCCAGGGCGTCTTCTGGACGGCTCGTGTACCCTGATATAGGAAAGTATCTACTTCCCTATCTAAATATATTGGCTCGCATTGTATCATGATTTTCAATTTATTGAGCCATGGATCTTTACTCCGTAATGGGCAACGCAACGTGATGATAGCTTTATGTATATGAACATAATTTAATAGCTGGGCAATTAACTGCCATGGTGGATTAGCCCACGCATTATGATTGGAGAGGTCTATTCGAAAGGCGTCTCCCAAAGGATGATTTAAAGTCCTGTAATTCGATAGTTGTGCATTATGATGTGCAGCAAACATATCTATGGTATGTGGCCCAAATATCTTTTGAGCCAGTTCAAACCACCTGGGATTACATTTCCAGTCAGTGACTAGCAACTCACGTACGGATATATTAAAGTCCGGTACGAAGCGTGATAACATATCCGGTAAATGTATATATATTCCTGGCAGATGTTTTATATCAAAATGAAACTTTGATATTGTATCATGCCAGCGACTCAGTAATTATGAGTCGGGTTTCATCTCTTTCATATATTGAAGAGATTTCTGATCACACATCAGCGTAAATGCTGTTCCGTACAAGTAATCTCGGAAGTGTGTTAGAGCTGCCACTATGGCTAATAGCACTTGTTTAACAGTTGGATAATTCAACTGTGAAACATTCATTGCTCGACTAAAGAATTGTATATATCTAGGTTTGTTATCTATAACTTGATATAATACTCCTCCTAGGGCGGAGTCGGAGGCATCCGTTGCTATTTCAAACGGCACGTCATCGACTGGTCCTTGTACAACAGGAGCTTGTTGTACTGCGTGCTTGAGCGCTTTAAATGCGTCATCACACTCTTTAGTCCACAAGTCTCCTAGTTTGCCTTTATGACATCTTAAGTGTCCAAAAGATTTAAGGTAATCAGCCAAGTGTGGTACTCCATATGAGAAGAAGTTTACAAACCCACACATGCTGTTCACATCTCTTCCTGTAGTTGGTGTTCGCCAATCTAACAGGCGTTCTACCTCACTGGGATCGATCTTAATACCTTCCCCAGATATACGATAGCCTAAGAGCTGTATCTCGCTCATTGCGAAGTGGCATTTCTTCTCGTTAATCTTGAAGTTTTTCTCGTTGAGTCTCTTAAGGACTCGTCTGACTAATGCGGCGTGTTCGCGCTTAGTTTTAGAAAAGATGACTATGTCATCTATGTAGACTTGCACGTTAGGCATGGTTGCAGACATTTTCTCCATTACTTGTTGGAACAATGCTGGTGAAGAGTGCAACCCGAAAGGTGTTCCTTTAAATCTGTATTGTTTACCTTTCCACGTAAAACTAAAGTATTTACGATGTGGTTCATATATCTGCATTTGATGGTATCCTTGTTAATACGAGGTAGGTGAAAGCCATGAGTCGACAATAATTTATTTATCGGACTCATATCTAAACATACTCTGACTTTCTTAAACGATCCATCAGAGTTATGTTAGTCTACAGCTAGCAATTCCAAGTTAACTGGCGTCTGTTGATAGTCAATTTCTATCACACCATCTGTTAACCATTTCTCAACTTGTTATTTTACCACAGCCTCATGTCTCCAGGATACATAATTCCTTTAGGGGCACTTCAACTGTGTAAAGTCTACCTTGGTTAAGTCAAGGCTGACATATCTTTCGTTAAAACGGAAATTTTCCCAATCTGTGGTCTTTATCTTCTTATTTACTAGAATCAGATCCATGATTTTGTCATCAGATCCATGATTTTGTCCGCAAAGTCAGGTATTAACACCTTGACTGTGTCTGACGGAGGCTTATATGGTTTGAGACAGTTATCGTCTGATTGATCCTTTAATGGATCTAAGTTATTTGGTAAACCAGTTACGGTTATACCTAGAGTAAGTAAATCGCTCATTCCGACTATAATGTCGTACTTCTGTGACATCTTAACTATCACAGCTTGGGTAGTGATACTCCTATCATCGGCTAACGAGATCTTAACATCTGTCGCTATAGTTTCACACTTGGAGGTTTTCGGGATTAGTACAGGCTCATCTAAAGAATCGTTGTACTGTCTGTGTAACGACTGTACCCGGTAGTACCGTCAGTCCAACTGAATGTCGGGTCTGATGTTACACGATTTAGTGTGGTAGCCATTGGTCTTCTCACATTTATCGCATTTTGTAAGATAGTGTTTACAAGATTGGGCATGCTTTCCGTTCCAGTAACCGTTAGGTGTTAACTGGTACATGTTATAGCCACATTTCTCATCAGCACGTTTTTATATATCTTGCTTGTATGCAGGTCCCTTGTGCTCATTTGCGTCGCTTCTTGGCTTCGTAAACGTAAGCTTCGAAGCAAACGCAATAGTTGGCCCGCGGGCTTTTACTACAGGGGATTTCTCTCTTAGTGGAGTTTCTTCACCCTTATCTGTTGTATTGTTCTGGTTATTAATACCAGTAGCAATGATTTTGGCTACGGATTGATTGCCCTCTTCTACGTCGCGTTAAATGCGGCAGCAGCAGCGGCGTCTCTCTCCATCCTCTTTTTCCCAGCTCTACGCTTCTTAGAAGGAGTAATGTCATTCTTGTTCATAATCTTAACTTATGACTGCTAGCTGGTCTCTTAAGGACTAGTTTGCACCAGAAAAAAATTGTGGTAGTTTTCTACCTTTACGTTTATATAGTCTAAGTAATTAATACCTTTACTAACTTTAAAATGTGTAAGATTCGGCCTATCAAGGCGATATTAACGCTTTAGAGTAATTTAACGCTTAAGTTAAGTCTAAGTATTGTAGAATTCGAAGTAAATGACCGAAATGATTCTTTTGGTAAAGTTAGATATGCCTCGTGAAAACAGCGTTACTCTGAGGTATTGTGAGGCCGAGACATTGCCTATATATAATCCTCTTAGTACTGTTTTCGCCGAAGGGATTTTATTTAGTGTTTCGTTGTCGCTCTATTAGAAACTATGGTACGTTTCGTTGGGGTGAATCAGAGAAACTCTTAAAATCCTATCTTTAGAAAAAAGGAAAAGAAAAAAAGAAAGAAAAAAACTCTTGATGTCCTTAGTTATTGCATTAGCCAATAACTTGCCACTTATCAAGAATTAACGACTTAGCCTTCATCAGACTGGCACATCTGGTTGGCTGAACGGAAGATAAACTAGGTAACGTTAATAGTCCCTAGAAACCTATATTCCGTTGAACCACCTCGCTACCGAAGTATTCAGATATAAATAGATTGGAAAATAAATATAGTTCTATAAATAGAACTAGACCAAATCTTATGTTTGGTATTTTACTGGGGCCTTTTAATGGCCTTGTCTAACTATCTTATATGTAAAATGGAAAAGCTATTAATTAATAAAACCGTTAAAAACCATTTAGGAAACTTTAGTTCCTCGTACTATTAAGAGTACGTTTATAGTTTACGTACTGCTTTAGAGTACGTTTATAACATAGAGTCTGATGTGGAGGCACGGCTATTAAATAGACCATTGATGTTTACGTGTACAAAGAATTGTAGTCAAAACCGAGTAACACTTAGTAAAAAGTGTTAAGTCTGAATAAGTGATCTCATCAAGAAGTCCCGTTGTGAGCGGCACACCTGCTGTATTCATTAATCACGTTATTATGTGGGACGAAATTTTCTCTAACAATGGGTAATTGTGGAAAGAGCCGTATCTATGGGTTTGGTCTTCAAGTTACTAAATCATGATGGCATTCTATGAGTCATCATCCTCTCTCATTAAATTCTCTATTCCACTACCTGGTCGGGTCCCTTGATTTGGTCCTAAAATGTTCCTCCTAGGTCCGGTCCTCGGTTCCGTTCCTGAATTCCCCGTATACGGTCCTTTGGTCCGGGCCTAAATATCTGTTCAGGGTACTTTGTCCACAGTATAGGTCAACAATGGGTTTGATCGTTTTTATATGATATGCCAAGCTTCGCGGGATCCACCGGATTTTGCTTCCCAGTTTAACAATTTAATGGTACTCTGACCGTTCGAGCGATGTACACTCTTCATGTAGCGACGCATGGTTGTTCCCCGTATGCACGCTACAGGATGGCCTAAAACATAATTAATGAGAGTTTTTGACACTCATTCTTGTCTTGCTCGCTATTTAACTGAAACCAAATCGAACACAATATACAAGCACAAAGAAAGTTCTTACAAAAATTCATGCTGGCTGAGAAGCATCTCTTGCAAAACATGAAAAGTTATGAGACTCTAATTTCATCACGGATTCTATCTCTGCTAGTAGCTTTCCCTAAGTAATGTGATGATTAAGTGCTAGCAAAGAAACTATAAAGTTCAAAACTAGTCTTATTCAAAGGATTGGTCGTCTCTCTAGTTTTGAAACTATTTATTTATAAGTTTAGCCCCATACAAATTGAGGTTGAAATGCCAAATGGCAGGTACTATATAATTGATCTGAGCCAGTACTACGCTTCGCTATGTATATGCAAATTTACATAGCCATCCCATCACAATATGCAACGTATCTTACACCCATTATGGCCTAAATGAGACATTTCGCTGGCGTGCGATAAAAATAGGTTTCTAGCCACGTGGGCAAAACCCCATTTTTCATAGCCTTCTGAAAATAGAACAATTTAAAAAAAAAGGATTTTTGATGCGTTGTGTCATTTTTGCATCATCATTTTTTCTCTCTCAACTTTTGAGCTCTTCTCTTGTTTTGTACATGCTGGCGCCTGGCGGCTGTTTTCTGGGAATCTTGTGAAAATAAAATGAATACATACATACTTGTCCAATGTCCTAATTCAGTGTGAGTCGTGCAGTCATCCAAGGGAAGCACTATGAAGACTGTTACGTTGATATGGATAGCCGTTCTCATACTGGCTTTGGCTCGAAATGCTTACGGTACGTACCTGTATTATTGCGATAAAGTAGTTAGTTTTAGGATTGTAAACTGTTTATTGGTCGTCCATGGAGTATGCGCACCATTGTTTCCCACTTCGCTGTATTGTGTGCAGCAGAAGTCGCCCAAGGGTCAGAAATGACATATCCCTAATTTACGCATACATTAAGCATATGTTCAGTTCGTATCGTATCCGCTTATGTTCAATTTGTACACATCAGACTGACGTTGTTGCACATATTTATTGTTTCGTATATATCTGATTGCTATTGCCGACAACCAGTCATATTGTACGAAGACTGCCACGTTTGCCTATATCATGTAAATCATGTCCTCACAAACATACATGCTATTGACATGTGTATACTATGTATTATGTCATATATATCATGTGAGTCATATCTGCGTGAAAATACATATTATCTATGTGTTTATACTATGTATTATGTCATATATATTATATGATTCATGTCGGTGTAAACTTGCATCTTATTTACATGTATATATACTATGTGTTATGTCATACATACCATGTGGATCATGTCCGCGTAAGTATACATGTTATTTACCTGTATATTCTATGTATTGTGTCATATAGACGTCTTTAGGTTCATATATTCATTTTGCATTTGTAACGACATAGCGTATGCGTGTAGCTATACATCGATTTATAGAGCAATGCTTGTATACATTCATCGTTTGAGCCCAATTTTTGTAAGGACATATATATATATATATTTATATACATACATTTACATACATATACACATATAAACACACATACACACACACACACACACACACACACACACACACG